CATTGAATCCCACACATTTATTTCAAGTAATAGTGAAGTTTATATTTAATCTTTCATTTTGATATAAGAAAGAACCCTCATCAATATAGCTAATTCTCAACATGGCTAAGTCTGATGATATTTGAATCCAGAGACTGGAGGCATGAACAGCTGAAAATGTCCCAGGTTTGCAGATAAATCCAAAATTAAAAATACATTTATAGGACGGGTGAAAACCCCTCAAACTAATAGAAGCGGCACATGTAGCTTTAAAAAACAAATGCCCTCAGTGGCCATTGCTAGGCAACCACAACAGTACTGCCAGGTTCAAGCCTTGGTATTTATCAGGAGAAGGTGGCAAAGGGGGCAAAGCCCTTTCTAGGGCTGTTTTAGACATGGGAGGACTCCTTAGGGCTAGGCCTGGCAGCAACTACAGGCTGATTTGCAGGATTCACACAGGCCCAGCAATGTTTAACAGCAGCCATCCCATGAAGGCCAGTGTTGCTTAATGGTTAGATTTTCAGACCCTGGGAGACCCAGGTTTGAATCACCATTCAGAGAAGAATGATATAAGTTGTTTCAGGTCCCCAGGGCAGAGAAAGGTCAGTATAAATAAGTATAATTGAAAATAGGTGGCAGATATAAAGGTGGTTGGTAAGTGGGTTGGAAGAAGGAAGCAGGGAAAGTTCGGGATATGTGGGTTTCCAGGAGGGAAAGAAGACATAGTGTGGGAAGGGGGATTTGGAAAAAAACTAGGTGCCTCCACAAGTCTTGGTGGGGTTTTCCACTGTACAACTGGGTCATAGTTTTCCTGGGTAGAAGGTTCCAAGGGGAGGGAAGAAAGGAAAGCTTAAAGAGACCAGGGGCAAATAAAACTAGGTTGGGTGCTGTATGGCAAAGAGAGAATGAAGCAGGAAAAGGGGTAAGCTATGGGGCTTTCAGGAAAGGAAAAGACAAAATAGTGGGGGAGGGGAAAATGGGGTCCCTGAGTTGTATGATATATACTTGCAATGAACATACAGGATAGAGTCAATTTTTAATTATCACTTGGCTGCACATTCAAATTATTGCCTTCCAATTTCCTTCTAAGCATTGGCAAAATGCCTTCTCAATGGAAAATTACCTAATCTAATCCTATTATTTAAAAGTCCAGGACCTTGCAGCTGCCTTCATGTTCTTGACCTACATTTGTGTTATCTACATTGAAACAAGATAAGCAAATTTGTTTATGAAGAACTTACTGGATTCAATATTGAAAAAAAAGATGTTTAAAATATAATTTTGCTTCTTCACTGCAGCAGCGATTTAGTTTATGATTAGCCAGTCCAGGAAACCTTTATAGCTGGGTAATAAATGAGTACTAAACTTGAGAAGAAAGCTGTAATAAAAGGGTACTTCTGTGTGTGGTTGTATGGACACTAGCAGACAAAGATTTATCTGATGAAGTAAACTGTAATGAAAGATCATGTTGCAGTATATTAGCCTTTGAGGTACTCCAGAACTTTGCCACCATAGATTAACATGACTAGTTCTCTGAAACATATGGAGACTAGATTTATTTTATGATCAGGGTAATATATCTTTATCTAATTTGAAATTCACAACAAGGTCTGAAGGTAGCTAAGAGTAAAAGACATTCCCTCCTGGACTTGCAATAATGTGGGCAAGGAGAGTTTCAGACATTCTAAAATGAAGACACTTCTTTTTTGATGGGAATTTGTATGTATTCTTAAGCATACTTGCTTGGTAATCAATAGAATTAATCTAAACTGTGACACCAAGGGTTTTTTTTTTTTTTTTAAAGAACCTGCTTAAAGTCGTAGAGGGATTTGAATTTAGGTCCCCTAAAACCAAATTCTATATACCGGTCCATGTTGACTCCAGTATTAAGGACAAACTGGCAATTCATATGGAAAATTGTTGCCTTATGGATTGCAGTTCTTAGCAATACAAAATATGCAATACCATTTACTCTAATTTTGTTGTTGTCGTCACTGAATACACCTACAGCTTTAATTTTAAGGTTAGAGACAAACCCATCATTGGCATTTGAATTTCACTGGTAAGAAATGAGTTATGTAATATGTTTGGGGTAACAAAGGTGAATCCTATTGTCCATGAATATGGTGAAAAGGGAATAAATAGTTCCAGAGGTGGTAGTAGGCGTCCATGAGAAAACAGGGAAGTGTTACTACCGAAGTTGTAACATTTGGAAATGTCTCAGGAAGAATTTACTTGTTTATAATGATTTAATTTGAATCAAATTAATCCAACATATCTCTTATAGTTAGCAAATACATTCAGTGTGGATGGAGCCACTTGTTGACCTTCCAGCCTCAGCTGAACAATGGCTCACAGTTAACACTTACCAGGTCATCCATGGCAGGCAACCGCCCACCCCTGCTGCTCCAACCCCCACCATTGCTCAGTGAAGCAGTGGAAATATGGAGGATTCCTAGAGCATCATATGATACTGTGACATCATTTCTATGTAATTACCTGAAAGAGACATCATGGCATTGCACATCATAATTTCCCTGGTCTCTGCCTACCAAATCCTCTTGCCTCACCAGTTATTCCACCTGGCAACCCTACTCACAGTGAACTCAATGCACACAAATCCCTGTTCTCATCAAATTTAGACTCAGTTTAGAATCACAAAAAGCCATGGTTTAATTAAAGTGGCTGAATCCTAGGTCCTGGGTCCCCAGACACAAAGGCATAAAACCAGTTTATGCTGAGGCAAGCCAGGATCTGAGTGATCTGCACACTGAAGCCTGGTTTCGTAAGTTACCCATGGTTAAAATAACCACACTTTCACACTATGTCTGAGCCAAGCCATTCTCTTATCTACAACTATACAGTTTGAGATATATAAAATTTAATATGAGAATCAGACCTGAGAAGGCAAGACTCTGCTGGTTCTCTTGAGTCACTTTGGTTCATTTTATTCCTTTGAAGTTGGCACTCAGTCCTGTTGTGCTACAGTGATACTGCTCAAAGCAGCTTATGCTTACAGAGTTAATGGGTTTCCTACTCAAGATTTATGTCCTGCTCTAATATCATTTTGTGTGAAGGAAATTATATAAGAAGAAGAAGAGATTGGATTTATACCCTGCCCTTCACTACCCAAGGGAGTCTCAGAGCGGCTTACAAACTCCTTTCCCTCCCCACAGCATACACCCTGTGAGGTAGGTGGGGCTGAGAGAGCTCTGACAGAAACTGCTCTTTTTCAAGAACAGCTGTGCCAGAACTATGGCTTGCCCAAGGTCATCCAGCAGGTGCAAGTGGATGAGTGGGGAATCAAACCCGGTTTTCCCAGATTAGAGTCCACGCACTTAACCACCAAACTGGCTTAACATGTGACAGCTGTGATTGCCCACATTTTTTGGCATTGTGTGAATTAGTTCCATTCTCTTTGTTAAAAGCTTTGGGATCAGGGTTTTTTTTTAATCTTAAGAACTGAATGTTGAAATCTTTATTTTTTTAAAATAAATGTTGAAATCTTTATTTTTTTCCCAAAGGGTTGTGACCAGGTTTTAAAAAGGCATAAAAGCAATCTGATAAATTTAAGGACTTTACAGTTAAGAACTTAAAGAGCTAACAATTATACTTAATAAAGTACAGTACCAAATCACTGGCCAACAATAACAACAGAACTCTACTCAGTTCCTTTATTAAAGCAAATTGTGAAACTGGACGGATATACTCCTATGTTGAACTAGGACTAACATTAAATTTAAAAATTCCACATAGTATTCCACATCCTATTACCTAGCAAAATTCCACATCAGTCTTTTGTCTAAATTCTTTAGTTCATGTTTTGTTCAGTATCTAGCACACCTATAAAATTAAATAGGGTAATGATAGAGAGGAAGTGTGCAGTTCTTACTGTTACACAACATTCTTACATAACCACTGTTTGATCTTGTTTGGACTTACCTTTCTTGGAATTTTCCCATGTAGAACAAAGGGCATGAACAACTCCCAAACCTTCCAGATTGTTCAAGAATGACAAAAGCATACAGTAGAAATTACCATGGCTAGACAAAGCACACAGTAGAGATTCCCATGGCTAGAAGAACAGAGGCAAACTTGCATCAGGTGGTTTTTCAGAGAAGCATCTACAAATTCTGGTGGCAACAAAGTTGACTGATTTGCATGGCCCACTTTATTTACATACAAAACACCTATTATGTGAAGCATCTGGTTACATGAAGGTATTATGTCTCCTGCAATCAAGGCTCCTCCTCCCTTTGTGCAGTAATGTAACCAAACTCTGGCCCAGGTAGGCTTGACTTACTCCCCAGTAGCTTGCATGAAAATGAAGAAAAAAACTTTAATGAAGAAATTCAAGAAAAGTTTTTAAAATATTTATCCTAATGGCAGCACTGCTGGTTGTTACAGCTGAAGCATGATGTTCTAGAGCTTACACAGAGTATCTTCAGGAAACAAGGGTGGTGGAGGAAAGGGGATAAGCAGGGAATGTTCTCTCTCTACTATAGTCTATAATATAAGCATTGCTGGCCATAACCTCCTGACCTTCCCAACCAATCACAGGACTCGCTCCACAGAACTTTTCAGGGTGACAGTAAGTTCCCCCTCCCTTGCCAGATCCTCAGCTGGACTGTGTGAGCTAGTTAACAGGCTCTCGAGATGACCTTGGTGAGTAACCCTCCATTGGGGTGGGGTGGCTGACACCTGCAAGAAGTCAGAGTTCCAGAAGTTAAGAATTTTAGCTGGCATTGTCCTCTAGGATGGCTTTTTTCTTGACAACTGTCACCTTCACATTTCTGTTTTGTTTATTGTTAGTGTAATACAGTACAGAATTAGTTTCAAAAACAGACACATTTAAAAGCATATACACACTGCACTTTTTCAAGCAATTTATTTAAAAAACAAATAAGTTACATTTCACAGAAATGGTAAGTTATATCACTAACATGTAAACAGAACACTGTCATGTCAGATCTAAGGAATTGTAAATAATTTCTCATCAAGATGAGCTAACCTATCTGGCAAACAAGAATTAGATCACCAGCATGTGCTTTGGTAAGGCACTGTGGGAAAGGATTGGATCCTATACTAGCATGAAAGGAGTCTTTCACAGTTGTTTTTGCCATTTCCCTCACTTCACTAAAAGGTGTTCCTAATGGCCAGACCGTGGGATGTGGCATTAGGAATCTGCAGTTAGAAGGGAGAATTTTGTGTTTTTCTCCTCCTGCTCTTCTCATATGAACCATGGAGATCATGCTAAGAGTGGGAAGAGGTGATTTCTGTTCATTCCCTCTTCTACTTCCAGTTCCACATGCTACATATCAGAGAATTTCCAATGGTCCCCCAGTCCTAAGGAGTAGCTTTGCAGGAAGCTCAGAGAGCTGCAGTGGGGAAGGAGGTAACAAAACTCACTTCCACAAACTTGTTCAGTTCAAGGTAGTATATAATCCAATCCACAAATATGTATCAGAAGATGAGTTGTTGATATTCTTAAAACATCATTGAGCTACTGGTTTCTGCTACATAATTTGTTTAGAATCTGCACCACTCCCAATAGAGTGACCAAAAATTACACAATTAAAATTGCAATGAAAAACTGATATAAGTTGCAAACCCCAAAGACACGTACCTAAATTTAAATAAACTTTGTAGGGTACTAAACTCATTTAAATCAAAGTACAATCGAACATATGAAGCTACCTTATAGACCATCGGTCCATCAAGGTCAGCGTTGTCTACTCAGACTAGCAGCAGTTCTTTAGGGTTTCAGGTTTAGGTCTTTCAAATCCGCTGTCACCTGATCCTTTGAACTGGAAATTCTGGGATTGAAACTGAGACATTGGACATGCATATCAGATGTTCTACCAATGAGTCATGATCACCACCACACTTAAGTAGCTTGTGAATTGTCAGCCTTTGAGCAATCCACAGACCATTCACTTTCCTGTCTACATTATGGTAAAAGTTTTTCAACTACAATTTGTTTACTATAGAAATCAGTTTAACTAAAAAAACTTGTGGAGGTAATATTTTAATGTTCTGTTCTTTAAAAGCTGAAGTTTTTTGTGGCATGGAGATTTTTAGGAAAAAAGTCAAAATGTTTCCTTTACAGAAGTCTAGAGTGCAGAACTGGGCTACTTGGCAACTGAGTATGGAGTTTCAGGAACATGATCCAAAGGAAACAGAGATCATTCAGTTGCTTGCAGAGTAAAGTCCAGTGGGCCCAGCTGGTTGTATCTTAGACATATGCCCAAATATCTACATCTGAGTAGGAAAGGAAATAAAACAAATGGATGTGTGCCATCAAAGATAAGCATCTGAAAGTCACCCAGCTTTTCAGCAAATTATACATCAAAGGCCAAGCACTGTTCATAGTCGCACCATTTTAAGACAGAAAATCACACACAATTTAAATGGAATTATGTAGATTTAGCAATATAGCAAAGTGCCAAATGCAGTCTTGTCAGTTATTCACATCATTATAGATAACAGAAAGGCTTCCTTTGAATAGACACACTTTATTGCACAGATACAAACTCTCATTGCTGAGTACAAGAGCAGCAAACAATAAAACTCTGGCTTTGGATTCAGTGGAATGACACCCACTCTGGCCTGCAGAGCTTCATGTCATATTTGGAATTGCTTATCAGGAGCACAATGAGGTATGAAGTAGCCCCAAGGGACTGGCAATTCATCTACTATCTTCAAGAAGTCTCTGTAAATTTCTCTGTATCTTTAAAAAGAAAAAGACAAAAATGAAAGGATTTGGAAAAAAGAAATTGCTATCACAATACAAGTGCTTCTACAATATACAAACAGCCCAGTTCCATGGTTTATCTGAGCTGGAGCATTTCCGTGGGACCAAGCCTTATTAAATCTGTTTTAAGAGACTTTGGATTAAGTTGCACAAATCTGTATTCATCATAAACTCCATGTGCTGTTAATTCTATTGCAACTGTTTGTACATGCAAGAAGTCTTCCTCTTGCACTGACAAATGCTCTCTATGGACTTGTCAGATCCTTCACGTGGCGGCAGCAGCAATTCTCCCAGTTTACAAATTTAGTGCTAAATTCTGCCCGGCACCAATCTCCCCAGAAATCACCTGTGAGAAATTATCACTCTGCTACCATTTTTCTGGATTTCCTCTCCTCAACACATGTTGTATGGCTTTTCAACCATAACATTCCCACAGCATCACTTAGGTAGTTGATGGGAAAAGTGAAAAATTCACTTCTGTCTTTATGCTTATGCTACTGAAAATTCACACACACCCCAATTTCTTTATGCATATGTTCCCAAGAATTGGTTGGAATAGCTTTGTATATAAGGAAAAATAATGTGTGAACAAGAGCAAGCTTACTGAAAACCACCCGAGATAAAGCAAAATAAAGAATTTTGCCTGCCTTTTCCCCAAGATCTTGAAGCCTCTCCATAAGGTGGACTAGGGGTGTGCATTCAGTAAAGCCGAACCAAAAAACCCAGAAAAAAATCCTTTTTGGCATTTTCCAGGTATTCGGCATACTGAATCAGATTCCCTGATCTGATTTGGCTGCTGAATACTGAACCCCCCCAAAAAAAATATTTGGGGTTTTGTCGGCTTTTTTCGGCATTGCCAAATATGGGCTCTGGGAGGCTTTAAACTTTAAAAGGCTCCACTTAGCTTCTTTTTCCTGCCATTTTTGTCTCTTTCCTGCCATTTTTGTCTCTTTCCTGCCATTTTTGTCTCTTTCCTGCCCTTTTATACTGCAGAGATCCTCAGATTGACCTGAGTCCTGTTGGGTTTGAGCACTGACTGCCACAGTGGCACTGGTTCTGGTGGGCACGTTGCACTGGTTCTGGATGCCCCTAGAATTGGACCCCCTGGTCCAATCTTTTCAAAACTTGGGGGTTATTTGGGGGAGAGGCTCCAGCAGCTACAGCACAAATGTGGTGCCTCTACCTCAAACCCCCTCCCCCCCATCCCACTGAATACTTGTTAGAAGATTTTTGCCATTAACTACAATGGCCCCATAGGTTATAATGGAGCCAAATATTTTTGGGTACCAGTACAATACCAGTATTGGTATTCGGGTATTTTCGAGAATACTAAGCATTTTTTCCTTTATTATACCTGAATCCCCCCAAAATGATTTTTTCCCCCTACACACCCCAAAGGTGCACTTGGCTGAGGATATTTCTGCTGCCTGTACTACGGAACACACAGCAGAGGAGCGGCCAGTCTGTTCTAGAATTACAGAAGTGTGAAGAGAACTATGCAAACAGGAAGAACAATGCAGAAACTAAATGGTTGCTATCACAAGTTCTTCCTTTAAGTAATAAGTGTCCTAGTACTAAAACTGCATGCATGGTTTGCATCATGAGCTACTGAGCAATTCCAAAAAACTACAACTGAGCATGCAGAAAAGAGGTTCTATGGCTGCTTCATTGAAACATCAAACTCTGTGTGGATCCTAAACAAACCTATATTTAGTTTGCCATTTTGTGGGATCAGAATGGACAAAATTGACACTGGAGAGAAAGAAGTTGGAATGGCTAAGCTGTTAGTTCGGTCATGACAACAGTATTTTGAAAACCCAGGTCACACTGTTTGGGTGTAGGTAATGGCTTCTGTTTCCCAGAATAAATGAACAGAAATGAGCACTAGGATGTTACTACAGGAGTTGTTTGCTTAGCTTTATTATTTCTCCTTTAAGTAAAGTGATTTTTTAAAAAAAAGTTTTTTATTTGACTGATATTTCACCCTCCCCCACGAGCAGGCTCAGGGCGGTCACAACAGCCATATCACAACACTGTCACAAGAAGCAATGTCATAATAACAATGTTAAAACATATAATTTAAAACCAGATTAAGACCAATTCAAATAAAATGGCAGACCAATTCGTGGGAATCCAGAGGACCTCCTGTATGGGCACAACTAGGTGATCAATGTGCATCCAACTTGCTGGAGGGTGCTGTGCAGATCTCTATAGCACCGAGGGGGCCATTGAGTAAGGCAGTATGAGCAGGGGAGGCCAAAATGGTTGGACATCCGTCCCCTCAACCGAAGGCCTGGTGGAACAGCTCCATTTTACAGACCCTGCAGAATTGTAATAAATCCCTCAGGGCCCTGATCTCAAGTGGGAGTGTGTTCCACTAGGCTGGGGGTCATAGGCATGTTGGTTCCTAGCCGCATAGGGCTTTGAAGGTTAAGACCAAAACCTTGAAATGGATCTGGTACTCAAATTGCAGCCAGTGCAATTGGTGCAACACTGGATGAATGAGCGCCCACACAGACGTCAAAGTCAGCAAGTGTGCCCCCACATTTTGCACCAGCTGCAGTTTCTGTGTCAGATTCAAGGGCAGACCTGCATACAGCAAGTTACAGTAATCCAGTCTGGAAGTGACTATTGCATGGATCACTGTAGCTAAGTCCCGTGAGGAGAGATAGGTACCAGTGGCCTGAGCAGCCGAAAATGATAAAAGTCTGATCTGGCAACATTGGTGACCTGGGCCTCCCTGGAAAGTAAGGTATCCAGAATCACCCCTAGGCTTTTCACCCTCGGCTCTTGCGTCAACAGCACCCCATCAAGGGATGGAAGATGAAAACTAACTTCATAATAAGCTGGCCCAGGACTGTAGGATGGAGAGGGAAAATAGTAGATATATATTTTTCATGCCTCTCCTCAGGCTGTGCTAAATGTAACTGTGGAGTACTTCTGATACAGACTGCTTTATTAGCACATGAAGCAAAAACAAAATCTAAAAACGTGCAAACACCAAAAATTTACATACATATTCAAATAATATGTGTGTCAGCACTTTAACTGTTTCTGTTCTTTCAGGCATTACAATTGAGCTAGACAGTCTCAGTCAGAATGTGGGGAAGGAAGTAAAAACAATCTCAGATAAGGGTAAGAAATAAGGCAGATTGTGTGTGTGTGTGGCGGGCAACCTTTCAGTCACAATTACTGTTTTTCAGGGAGGATATGAATTTAGCCTAGTGGACATGAGCTCCCTGCCTAGTTTTAGCCTTCATTTAATCTCTCTGGTAGGGGTTAGCAATACATTTATTTCTGCAGTTAGCAAATGAACCAGAACAGATGCCATCTGCAGGGAGCAGACGACTAGACAAACAGCGCTTTTAATAACAAACAGCAGTAGGCAAGCCCTGTCGGCTAGAATTTCAAGACTGTTTGGGACAAAGAGTGAATGATTAAGAAGATTCCCTCCCTATAAGGCTTTGTCTGTCACATGAAACTATAACAACTGTATCATGCACTGGGAAAAGCTTCGATATAGTATGTCTCAACTGTCCCCAAAGGCTCAATCTCACAGGGAATGGTAGCAGGTAAAGCGATCACTTCAAGTTTCCCCACAACCACATCTGTTAAAAGAACTGGAAGCTATGGCTCTGTTGGCATAGCTCATATGCTATGATTCCCTATGCATTGTCATTCATGGAGATAATCCGGGCGCTCTGCATGGGGATATTCAGTAATGAATGAGCTAGTACTGAGAATGTAGAAGCTTTTTTCAAAAGCGATTCATCGTGGAGTTTTTAGAGTTGAGGCTCTGGCTTGGGAAATGCTAACAAGGAAAGTTAGGTGACTACTTTGGAATGTGTATGCATACAGATGCTCCATTAGGGCTCTGCTGTTTGTTGTTGAATGAAGCTGCCTTACATTAAATTAGGCTGTTTATTGCTTTAGCTCAGCTTTGTCTAATCTAAGTGGTGCTGACTCTCCAGGTTTCGGGCAGAGAAAGGTCTTTTTCAAAATCTGAGATCCTGTTAACTGTAGATGCCAGAGATTGAACCTAGAACCATGCAAAGCAAGTAGGTTTCCAGCTCTGGATTGGGGAATACCTGGAGATTTTGGGGGTGGAGCCTGAGAAGGATGAGGTTTGGGGAGGGGAGAGACTTCAGTGGGGTACAGTGTCATGGAGTCTACCTTCCACAGCAGCCATTTTCTCCAGGTGAACTGATCTCTGTTGCCCAGAGATCAGTTGTAATAGCAGATCTCCAGCTACCACTTGGACACTGGTAACCCTAACAGCAAGTATCTGGCTACTACTCAGCCAGAGCACCGTAAGACCACCTTCATAAACATTAATTTCACCTTCTAATCCTTAATACTGTAATCCTATGCGGAGTGGCACAGCCTACCTCGTTTTTTAGACAGAGATAGGAAATTACTGAACTGTAACACACCTTTTCCAATTTGATAAGATTAGCCATTAGCTCCTCACAGAGACCAGCCACATTAAGATGCAGATGAGATTCCAAGTCTTCTTGCATTGGATGTCTGAAATGAAGAATGTGGGTGGGGAAAGGGAGAAAGAGGACAATTGTAAGATAAACAAATAGATCATTGAAGATGAGCTGGACAGACAAGGAACCAGAA